TGATGTTGGTGGATATGAAATCAATTTTCGATAGATGTCTAGATGTTAACATTGGAAATCTATCGATAAAGGTTTCAACTTCAGTGCTGTAGCATTGCGAGAAATTCAGGCTGAATTGTTTGCAAGTAATATCAGGGTCGTCAACTATGCTTCCGTTAGCAATGAAGAATTTGGTTGTCATAAGAGAAATTAATTTCACATTGGACTTTAAAAGCCAAGGTATTGATAATTGTGGGCTTTTAGTAACTAAGACTTTATTTTTCATATTCAGAAAACACTTACATTTAGATGAATTCTTTCTATCGATCAAGTTAAGTATACTCTGATGTGTGTACACGTCATGATGTTTGTGGTGGCGGTGTTTCAATACTCTTAGCTTTCTTTTAAAGGTTTTATAACCTCGATTAAGTGTCTAGCAGCCGTCTCCAGATGAATGCCAATGGTTGCCAAGTGTGACTAACCCATTGTTGTAAGATTCCTCCGATTGGTGAGTCGGATGTGTCTACTGAAATAATTATGGGTGTGTTGATGCTGTGGTGTGTGATCAATCTTGCTTTAGAGATAAGTTCCCTAACTGTATGGAATGGTGTTTTCGTACTGTTGTTCAAATTGAAGAGTGTCACGTTTCCACCAGGTTAGTCTGTTCAGGTTATAATGGGAAACTGACCAGGTCGCTGAAATAACGTGATCGCTTGACTGTGGTCGGTTCTGTGTAGTCAAGAATAGCTGCCACTTTGCCTTACAGAGGGCGAAAGCCAATTTGATATTTCTGAGTGGATACAATGATACGGTGCGTTTGTAGTGCTTTGAAAACAAGATATTGGAGATGAGATTCTCTATCCGGACTTGTAGTCAATGAGTTATTTGTATATGTGTTAACGAGACGTTATCGGTGAATCATTGGAAGGTTTATGCACAATTTCTTAGATCCGAAGGTATGTTCAAAAGTTCGTAGAGTCCGAATGGGATGGTGACAGAGGGCTTAGAGAATAGTTTTTATATTCAGACGCCGATAATCGCCAGTTGGACACTCATCAATGCTATCCGTTTTAAGGATCATGTGTAAGGGAGATGCTCATGCGCTGTTCAATGACCGAATACTTCCCAAGTCTATCACATGGTTAAATTAGTTTCTGGTCAATATCAGCTTCTCAAGAGTTAGTCAGCGCGTTTCTGATAATACATGTGGTCCTGTAGTCGTGATGTGAAACATTGCTGATTACGCACAGCAATCTCGTTCGCGTTTAATACAGTTCAGAGTACTTGTCGTGTTAGCGTTGATAGAATGTGTCGACTATGTGCTTGACAGTGACTAAGGATAATCTACAACCAGAAACTGGAGTTGCACTAAAAGATGATTTGGTATTTCTGTCTACTAACCTCCGTTTGAAAGTGCTGATGAGTAGATTATGGTGTTGTAACAGGTCTAAACCAATGATTGACATAGAAACATTTGGTACAACGAAGATCCGGTGGATGCGTTTGCGTAAACCCGCATACACATATCGCCTACAGCACGTGGCAACCTGTTTACCGTTTGCGACCTGTCAGGGTTATCAGTTTCTCGTGGTTTAGAGGCAGCTCGCCTACGTGAAGTGCTTCTTCGCGGAGTATGTGACCGTTTACGGTCATTTCGAAATTTAAGATAACGAGCAAGTGTATGACATAATTCCGTAGTGTCATTCTGGGCCATTTGAGGTTTTTCTTTGTGTTACGTCCTTGAATCTGTCTATCCACTTTAGTGCCGAGTATGACTTGTCTAATGTAGATTAAGACCTTGACCCGATAGGCTGACTGACTTAACCTAGGGGCTAGTATGCGTGAGTTCAAAGTGGGGGTAGAGAGACGAAAACTATTGTCCCTGATTGGCTGGCAAGCACGCGAGAGAAAGAGAGAAGACAAAGACAGCTGGAACACTAATCACTTTATTCCAACTCCGATCTAGCACTCGAATTCCCAATTCAGATTAGGGTGAAAAGTTACATGAATAAGTAGATGAATAACCTGACCACAATGTACAATAATTAGGAAAATACAATTATGTCCAAAACTGGGGGATTGTAGTAGAAAATAGAGTACAAAAGGTTACGTCTAAACTACAATAGCTTTAGAACAGAAAATGCTATGGCAGTGAATTATGCATCAAAAGAAAGCTTATGATCTGTGGAATAGGCTAGGGGCAAAAGTAAATGTTACAGTTTTACAAGCTTTGAATTAAATGAATTAACGCCCCCAAAAATAGCTTCCGTAATTTTTTAAGGCTTCTTGTTTCGCGATTCACATCACTTTGACCGAAAAAACCTCGGCATTAGAAGATTTCATGATTTATAGGATGCGATCGGCAGTTGCAACCAGCTCGTCTACGGCGTTGTTTTGAAACGAGACAAACACAGCTTGCACCGGTTGAGGAAGTTATTTAAACAGTTATTCGTCGAAAGTTCTTTAATCAATTACCTCATTCTTAGCAATATGTCTGTTGCTGAACCATGTTCCAGATCAATGTTATTAAGCAGTTGATTTGATTTTTGTCGATCGGTTAGATCTCCGCGTTTCGGAATGGACCGTTTTAGAGTTTCGCAAGGTCGCGAAACATCAATAGTAAACATACTGGGTGTGACGTATCTGATAATTTCGTGCGATAGTGCCTTTACTACTGTAAGGAATTGTGCACGTGTGACGTTCACGCCGTGCTCGTAGAAGTCGGCCTCTGCGTAGTGGAACCAGGCTTCGACGCTGTCTGACTAAAAAAGCATTAGCTGAAATGAAGGTGGTGTCATCGTCTTGAACTTAAGTACTTTAGATGTCTGTTCTGTCAGGGCGAATTTTAAGTATAGGGAAGAACGAGAAAAAATATTCAAAAATACGAAAAAATATCACAATACATAAAAAATAAAGTAAAGCGGTGGTTTGTGAAGTTTCTAAAAGGAACAGACTCACAGTTCACAAGTTCGTGTACCAGATAACGTTGGGTTCACCAACGAAGATATCATGGGTATTTGTAGTTTGACACTTTAATTGAATCGTGCCCACACGGTGAAATCAAAAGGCAGAAACGAGGAGGTTGGAAGATATATTTGATAGGTTATCAATGTATCGAGAAGTGACTGATCTAAACTGGCTAGCGATAGCAGAAGTTGAGCATGGCGTACCCACTCGTGATCCGGTGGGGATACATGACCGAGCGCCTTCAGCTAGGTGAGTCCATTAAAACTAATGTTATCAGCAACAAATGTTGAAAACTTACAGAGCTATTGATTTTGGGGATTTATTCACCGCTACAACTGATAATAAATATAGCGATCATTCAATCGAAATACTACTTTTACTTGTTCAAGATAACAAAAACGCTGCAAATCGGGAAAATATTATTTAGTTAATTTATAAGCCTGTTGACTATTGAGATAAAAGAAAGTGTATAAAAGGTGAACAACATTTTGATGTATTATTCAAGATCCTAATCACAATTTCTAGAAAATGTCACTCAAAACTACCATGTCATTAAAGTTATTACACAAAAAAGATTAATAAGAATCAAAATTCATGTATAACCTCAATGACGCTTGAAAATAATAACAGCGGGAGTGAAAAATTACTCATTGCACCATGACCACTTTCGGTCTATTCATCTGTTAATTTACAAGTAACGCAGACGTACTGTTCCACTCGAACTGTTAGCATATAGATATTTGATTTATTTTCCTACAAGGCTTATTCAATCGGCTAGTGGGAATTATTTGGTTGGAATCTGTGGAAAGGTTCCCCGAGAACACACACAGTTCAGCCTATCTAATATCTGTAATAATCGATTTTAGCTGCCATAACTTTAGATAAGAAAGCTTGATTCTAGTGCAAATAAACCAAAAAAAATTTAAGTGTTTTGGATCATCTTGCATTCATATAAATACAAAATGTTTTGTGGATCTTTTTTCACTCAAAATTATGGCCTTGATAATTTATATTCAATAAAGCATTCTTGATATAGTTGATTTCGGATCACTCATCACTAGGAAGTATATTACTATGTCCGAAGATCAAATATGTGGATAAGTTGATCCGTAAATTTATTCTTGAGAAAAATCCCCACTGATATAAAGACATCTATGATCTGTATGTATTTACATCTTTGAATTACTCTTATGTTAGTTAAACACCACATCAACCATAATTTCTGTTTGAGATTCTTATCATGTTATGCTTAGTGAAAATAACAAGGTTCTAAACGCAGTGACAATAAAAATTGACTTCTCTCAAACACTTATATTTGTTTTGTCATATTATTTTTGAGAATCCATCATTCTGATCCACATAAATCAACTCTGATGAAGGAATGTTTCCTTAAACAAATGTCTATTGGTATCGTAAATGGTTGGGGTTATACAGCTTTTTGGTATAAAATACCTGAGACAATTAGGACTCAATATATCAATCTAATTGACATAAGTCACTCGGCTGGGTTTACGTGGGCAATTGTTGAGATCATAACGCGATTTTGAAAATAGCTACATCATATCAGTAGTGACCGTGCCAGGCTTTATTGTTTGTACAGTATTGATATTATTAATGCCATTCTCAATCATTTATTCATTAAAATTTATTACTTGTTTCTTTTTTTATCACGAGTGAACAAAGGATTGTTTGGTGCTAAGATATTAAAGACACAATCGGAAGTACGGCCAAAGCTAATGCTAACATTACGATAAGAGAACGTCAACTAACTCAATACTTCACTTTACTTGAGACACCATTATGCTGATAGTACATCTCTATCATACTTGCCAGTGGATATCATGTTTACTTGCAGATCGTTTTGTTGCCTAAACTGTTAATTCTGATGAACTGCAATTAGTGTTCGGAGACTACATTATATCTAGTCAGCAATCTGAATAATACAATCACATCAACGGTGAAACAAAATTGAATAATATAATGAAATCCACTGAAACAAGAAAAATAAAACCAAGCTCCTTTTATTTAGTTAGATAAAAAGAAATTCCAAAATTGTCCACCATAGTTTAATTCCTATATTTACCAACATGGTTGATAACTTTTCCAGTCCGTACATTTCATAATAAAATCCCTTCACAATGCACAATAAAATGTTAGTATATCAAATGACCAGAAGAAATTAATTCATAATCAAGACAAAAATGAAAAATCTAACTGGTTATGTACATTTACATAGAAATAAAGTCACGTCCATTTAATCAAGAAACTTGAAAAGGTGAATAAACACTAGTTATTAGAAGAAAAGTTCCTGTGAATTTATAATTAACTATAGGAAAAGCAATTATTTTAAGTTTCGAAAAATGAGGTATCATGGGAAAATACATTCTTGTAGGTGATACAGCATTGATTCAGAAGTGACGCATGGCAAAACAAGCATCAATGCAAGATATATCAACTGAATTCTCAAATTCCGTCAGTAATTCATGAGCATTTATACGTTCTGGTGCACCGATCATAGCCTAATTACAAGTATGAAAAATAGTCTTTATTTATTCATAATTGAAAGATAAAACAATGTATTATATTATAATCTGAATAACGTTTTCATGATATGCAATATGGGAAACGAAATAGTATCTAAAAAAACAGGCGTCAACTGTGTTCTTACAGTAACAAATAAAAGAAAGTCCTATCAAGGTTCATAGTACCATACTGAGAAAAAGACGAAAACATCAAATGATGTAAAAGAATATTCATGGAGAGACGATTCCTTTTGTTAAATAACTTAAGCTTAATCTTGAAAACTATACAACATTCGTAGACATAAGGCATACCCAAAGTTGCACTGACGAAATTATTGATCTTTAATTACACAAAACAGTGTGAATGTACCAGATATTCAACCCTATGTGAAATATGTAGTTAGATAAATTATCAGAGTAACCATTGTGAATTTCGCATGTACTGTCCAAGCGGCTACGAATGAATACATAAGCCTTTCGAATACTCATAAATGAACATTATACAGAAAACACTCAATTTTCAGAATCCGTTATGAAAACCACGGAATTAAATGGACATAAAGTGGAAAATTACTAACCATCTATCTGACTAATTTTTCTCGATAAATAATATCCTAATAAGGAGTTTAGTTTCAATTCCAAAAAAATAACACCCGAAATTATTTTTGTACTCTTAGAATATCCTAATCTACAAACCAATACTCTATATTGATAGAAGTTCATCTTGTGGTCATTTGATTCAAAAATTGACGCTTAAGTCGACTAGAATCGATCCACAAATGAAATGTTTCAAAACCAGCTTAATGCATGATAACGATTAAGCACGGACTTTCTGATGGACAGCCTACATATTGAATGATATAAACAACGTACAATAGGTCACTATTTCCCAAATTAACAATGAACCCCATGATTCGTATAGAACCAGCCAAACCACTTGGACAAGCGAAATTAATGGGCGTTTGCAAGTTAAATCTAAGTGGAGGACTGGATAGAATTTTTCATCTCCAACATGAGTATATTGTTTGACAAATGGTAGATAATTCTGGGTTAAAAACTGGCTATTATTAAGACAGACCCCCTATGACCCACTCAATACAAATAAGGATCCCAGAAATTACGCCAAAATACCAGTAGATGTTAATTTGAGTAGTAAGTTCAATCGTATCACTTCTTATAACGTGAATCGGGTTCAGAAGCTCGCTCATACATTACCATCAAAATAATACCTAGTTTTATTAATGTGCGGTTTACTTCCGTATATAAACGATGGTCATTTTTTTCCTTTCCCATAATAAACAAAACTCATCTGTGTTGCGATCGGTGGTTCTACAACTATTCGCTTCAAATTAATATTGTATACAGCGTGAACTATGATTAGACAATACACGAACAGCTGTTAAAACACGACCCAAGTAGTGTCTCCCAAACTACCTCACACTAACCTTACGCTTTGCAATATCATCACGCTTTCGAGCTTCAACAAGAAGGCGCTTCTCTTCTTCAATACGGCGCAATTCTTGTTCTTTCCTCCTCTCAGCTTCCAAAGCAAGTTCTTCTTCCTGACGTCGTCTGTCAGCCTCTTCGCGTTCACGAATGGCCTTCTCTTCAGCCGCGCGAGAACTCCACTGAGATTGCCTGCGAGCTTCGCGCATTATTTGAAGAGCCGCTGCTTGTTTCTCTTTTTCCTCGTTTTTACCAGGCTGAGAGTTAGGCAGCAAAATGTCGTCTGCTTCAATAGGATCGGGTAAAACATTAACCATTCTAGCAGCGACAACTGTTGAAGAAACCTCAGAAAGTGATGTAGCTGTACAGCTACTTGTAAGAAGGGGTTTACCTGACGAACCATCTTCAGAAGATGGCTTTTTAGAAAACCCTGAAATGGCCCACACAGGTTGGGGTAGCTGATGAGGGGAGTTCGGTTCAGATTCCGTATCTGAAGATTCATTTTGCTCAGCCTTTGGTTCAATAGATTTCGCATAGATGATATCACTATTACAATTACCACTTGCAACAGAATCAAGTGCAGAAAATGTCGATGGTTGATTGATTGATGTCTTATTTGTTACATTATCCGAGTTCAGGGATAAAAAAACAGTCGATTTCGAACAATTTTGCAGGCCAGTTGAAGATACCTGGTCATGCGACTGTTTGTGGTCTGAAGCTGCTTCTGAAATTATAGCAAGAACACCAGGAAGGCAGGCCTTAAGATATAATTAATATAACCTACACTACCACCCAATGTGCTAACATCAAGAAGACTCTCACTTTAGTAGCAGATAATTTATCAAATGAAAATTACATGCTAAGTACTGTACAAAAATGCATTCAATGATCTTTTTATACACAGGACCACAAACAATTAAAAGGGAATTAGGTACAAATTTCTCACGAAAACAACGCCATGTGTTGGAGACATAGTGGTGTATATAAGAAGAAACCAAGAATTGATGTACAAAGAATAGGAAAGCCACTGAGGCAAAAAAATCAAGTACTGAAGTATTTGGTGCTTGATTAGAATCTTACGACTTCAGCTCGTAAAAAAGTGAAATTCTTGACTTGATGTTAGCACAGTGGCTGGCAGTAAAAAGGTGTGTGTAAGTTTTTAAAAAAGAATGATATACGTTAAGTAAATAAGGATTTAAAGAAATTACAAAATGAAACCATACTGTAGTAAAGTTGCTTAGAAAAAGAAAGAATACTGGATGACAATAAAGAATGCAGCATTCAATTACTGGGAATAAGTTGCAAATGTAGCAATTCATCAGGACTCACTATAAGATTTAGAATCTGAAGAATCAGATTCACTTGAGTCTGAAGTACTCTCGGAATCACTTGAACTGGATGATGATGCGCTCAAACGATTAGTACCATCTGAAAAACAATGAAGTTATATGCATTATCTGAGAAAATCGTGTGTTATTGAAAAATACCTAACCTGTAAACTTTTGCTAGCACCGAAACGATAACACAATGAAATATATAACCAACAATTTAAATATTTGGTTGATGTATAGAAAAATAGAAAAGATGAGCACTATGCTATATTATATCGAAATAACCGAGATTGATATACAAGGAGCTTGAAAAAAACTAAACAACTGCCTCATTTACAGCATAGGAAGCAGAAGTAGATTTGAAGACTGGTTGAAAATCAACTGATTTAACCTCTAAGTCATTGCCGGATTTTTCTGTATCAAAAGCATGGTCATCATTCCTAAACAACGTTGTAACAAGTCACTAAAATGATCACTTCAAGCGTAAGCAAGATATCAATATATATTCATAAATCATATCGAGGGTCTTTGTACGATATTATGCAAATCCGTGCTTAACGGCTCCGAAGTTTGAGAAGATACTAAATACTGAAAACATTACAATGCCGAAAATACCAATTTATTAGAATGAATCTGACAGCAAAATAAAGAGTATAATATATCCTCAATGAAAGTAAATGTTTGAACGTAAAAAGTACTGGTTAAACTATTTAACCAACGCTTCTACGGTGAACCTGTAGACACTGTATACCACAATATATAGTGGTTATCACGCGTGTCTGAAGTGAATTCTTTAAACCTTATATCATTGTAGGAACAATTGTGAGTACATTTTTAAACACCAAACGAATAGTTCCATTGGATACAAGGAATATAAAGTCACCTAGATGTTACCGCACTGACGATTAATGAGAAATTACTCACAAACACCAACAAGTCGAAACTGTAATAAGCTCGAGTCCAAATTTAATTTAAATGACCACACAGAATGATAATAGTAACAGAGAAAGATTGGAAAACTAGGAGATTGATTTAAAAAGCTGGAAATCATAAGAACCAATGGTAGTTGTGGTGATACTGGACTTACGTGACTTTTTCGGATTATGTGCATTATGATATCCAGGAGCACCTTGAGGAAGTCCTCCAATCTCTCTCAATCGATTTTCCAGCTCTTCTGTTTTCTCTTTCATGCACTCTTCACGAGTCTTGCCTGGTGGGACGCCACTTAAACCCTTCTTCACATATTTCCGGCTCCCGGATTTTGTCTTTTGCAGAACAGATTTTACATACTTCTCTAATTCACGCAAAGTTGTATGTTGCAGCGTTTCAAAATCAATTTCGATTTCATCTGGATTACAATCACGGTGCGACGGTTCACGTTGCTGGATGATTTGGACAACTCTACCTAATTTTTCACCAGGAAGCTTATTAATATCTAGACTTAATTGGCGTTTTTCATCGTAAGTCATCGGACGAACATTGTTTTCGGACATCTCCTCATCTGTAGCATATCCGGGAACAGGTATAGGTTGGGAATGTGCGGAACTCATGTTTACTGTGCTACTACTAACTGGAGCACATGGTGCATTTAGAACGGGTGCTGCAGCAGATAGTCCTGTTTAAATAAAACGATGGAAATTCAAACTGTTTTGAAATGTATAATATACTAGTGAATACAAGAACTTCAACATACATAGCAACACAGAAAATGTGGTAGTTGTATCAATAACAGTTATTTTCTAGTTGATATTTAATTACTTTGTTAGACAGTGATTACAGTTGAGATTATGAGTATTCCTACATTCTATTGAATTATTAAACAGGTGGACTGAGACGAAGTGTAGTCACAGGTTTTGAATTAACCCAAAGAAAGAAATAATTTTGGCGACTCAACTAGTGTTTCATTAAACGACCGGAGCTTATACACATTTCTAAATGATTAAATTGCTGCATGGGTAAGACATACATCTGGCGACCAAGGAGCAGATATACAGTGCAGCAGTCTGCTCTGTTTCAACATATAATTGGGAAGTGTTAATTTTAAGATCAAACGACATCAGAAAGTTACCGACGCAAGATCATAGATGACCTCAAAGGAATGTTTGTGTTATTTTGGGACTACAGAATGAACAATACCAAGATTAGAAACACAGTACTAAGCTATTCCGTTGATGAGGCTGCCAACCGTCAGAACATCCATCAAGTATGACAAACCACCCCTAACCTTTAACACTTGGTGTTGGCTGGTGCGATATTAGATTGGAAGAAAACCATGTGTGCCCAAACTAAAACGAGGGATCAATTCAAATTACCAGGGTACAGTCCGTGTGATTACTGTGACTAATGGTTAAAAACTTTGGATGACATGATTCAGAATCGTTCGTGGTATCGAAAGTGAATTTACTCATTCTCTTTCCTTGTATCCTGAGTTTCGAACTTAATTTTATTCCTTTTATTCCGCGAATTAATTCCTTACTTGTTAAGTCATTATCTCTGCCTAACCCATTTTACTATCACATATACTACTAGTAATTCTATTATATTAGTATTAACCTGATAATTTTATATCGCTGTGCTGGTGTGATGAAGCAACATGGACCAATGCACAGTCGTCCTATTTTCTGAATGAAATGAACATCTACTAGATGAGAAAGAAGCTGAACAAAAAATTTTATAGTTTATGCTGAACATCGTTTATAGCACTAAATACCTAAATCTAACACCAAAATTTTACATCTAACAGTCAGCTAATTTTACAATCACACAATAATATTGGAAAGACTATAATCTTATTTTATCTCCCCTCACGGTTCATGAAGAATATCACACCATTACTGAGTGTTCAATCAGTAATCAAAATGATTTTAGTGGGTGAACTCTAGATAAACATTTTGCCAGTGATGAGGTAATGATCCAGTTTTCTAAATTGAAATTCAACTCTCAGAAATTGCACAGCATAAATTAAACTAGGTGTGAGCTAAAGGATCGTTGTGAGCCTAAAGAAATGAAAATTGAATGTTCTCAACTTTTCTTGTTGTTGTTTGTTATATCTTCAGCAAGCCACTGAAAATTATCTTACTAAATCATTTAACTAGAAGTAATGTGCACATGATTAAACAAAATTCACTAGTGATGAGTATCTTGTTTGTCCACTAATTTTTGATAGAACGTCAAGTGACGTGATATGGTGTTTTATTTAGTAAGTAGCAAGTACGTCCTTGCATTTAACAATTCAGTAGTCGAGATTGAGATAATTGATATTGCAACATTCCAGATGATAAAAGCCTAACTTGAAAAGTAAAATAAACTTCTAATAAAAAAAAGTTTAGAAAGTGATATTGAAGTTTGTTTGTTTCCCTTTGGGTCATAAAGGCGATTTATTAAGTCCCTTACATTTCTTTTATCAATTAAAGAATAAAGCGATATTTCTTACTATGAAAGTCCCTCTTGATAATCGTAAACTTTATTGTTGTTTATTTGTTGGGGATGATAGATCCCCAGAAACTACTTAGCGAACGTCTCATTTTTATATTATTTTGGAAATTGTATTTCTCACTTGGAAAGACCTTAAATGTCATTGATTCGTTTTCTCTTATAGGACGCTATTTTGTGACGTTTCCCAGGGACATTATGTACTGTACATATACACATGAGTTGTGTGCTTGCTCGTTCTTGTTTCCGACTGCTTGTGGAATATACATTTTTCTAGGCTGAATCTGGTCTTTTTCTTCCAGTTAGCAGGCTGGGGTGCAGTGGAATAGCTTAAGCTTGTCCTGTTATTGTGTTGCTCACTTCGTTCCGTTCCGCCGGTTTTAAGTAATATCGTAATCTCTCCAAAAGCGGCATTACTAGGTTACAGGTAATGAAATTTCAAGGATTTGTACTATTTGTTTACCCACTGACGCTGCTAGAATGCTTAACCATTAGAACAGATAGTAAATCTTGAGTTTCTGTTTGTAATAAAAATCTGACTTCCGTTAGTTAAGAGTACTACTATATATTATTGGTGTACGAAGATAATAGGATAATAAAATCAGTTAAAAACCGAGAGGTTAATATAGTTGAATTCCTTTTGGATTTTCGATAAAAGGATAATGAATACACAAGATGACTGCGTTTTACTGAAAATTATACAGGATTCTTTTCAGTTATTTCTACTTCTTTATTACAGTGACAAATTTCAAGTAATATCAAAATCTGAACTATATGTAAGAGCATTAACTAATGATTTCGATCCTTGTAACAAAGTCAACTTCATACTTAAAAACAATCTAAAATATGACGTTAGTGATACCTAATGCGATGAGAAATGATGAGTTGTTCCACTTATGGTAAACAATATGTCATGAATACTTTAGTCCAAGACAACGGTCCATCCTTAAATAATTATGACCAAACAGTAATTTCAAGGAAAAGGTCTTAACTATCGAGTCGGCATCATTTCCTCCCCAAATTACTAATGTTTAACTAAGCATGAACGGTTAAACGTAGGAGGCTAGGTGAAAATGGGGACTCAACTGAAACCTTATCGACTGAGATAGTTAGGACAGATATTACGTATGCCCATCGACCGACTACCTCAACCTGCGACAGTAGGCTGCAAGAAAGCTAGCGTTGGACAACCATCTAAACGTAAATTGTTACTCCAGGACTGGCCTGCGTCAACACCTGAACTAAGGATAGGGAGCGAAATAGTCGAACGCCTCGACAACTTCACTTAACTTGGAAGTTTGATCAGCCCTAATGGGTTGGTATCTGACGAAATCTCAGCACGGATTCAAAAAGCTCGTTTGGCTTTTGCCAACTTACGTCACTTATGGCGAGGACGACGTATTCGTCTACCAATTAAGGGATGAGTATACTGCGCAGCAGTTCGTTCTGTTCTACTTTACGGCTGTGAAACATGGCCATTAAGAGTAGAAGATACTCGTAAGTTACTAGTATTTGACCACAGATGCCTTAGAAATATTGCTCGCATCTTCTGGGATCACCGGGTAAGTAATAGAGAGGTTAGACGCAAGGTATTAAGGAATGATGGCAAGTCAGTTGATGAGGTCATGAATCTTCATCGACTGAGATGGTTAGGTCGCGTGTTACTTATGTCTGAACACCGATTACCACGACGCGCCATGCTGACTAGTGTAGGGGGTGGTCGGAAGAAAGTTAGGGGCGGCCAAACCAAAACATGGCATCAGTGCTTGAAGTCACTAACTTCAAGTCTGAGGTATGGGGTCCGCGTGACTATCGTAACCAATGGTTGGAGACTCTAGGTGACATGGCTCAGAATCGATCACAATGGCGTAGGTGTGTACACTATTTATGTTCCTTCAAACCTTAAAATTGCTTCATAACGTTCTTTCTTCCTATACTATATCCTTATATACAACCTATCTTTTATATATTACCACCACTAAATTAACTACTTCTATGAATTCGGTGTTCATCTTGTTGTGCTAACGAGGTATGGCAACTTGGACCGATGCATAAATGTGCCTGGTCCTACGTTGTAGCTGACTGACTGACTAGGGTTGGACAAACCAATACATGGAATCAGTCCATGAAAATACTGATTTTTACTGAAGAATGTAGGTAGGTGAAGGATAATTATGGTCAGCGTGATTATCGTAACCAGTGGTTAGAGACTTTGAATAAAACGGATTAGAATTTTTTGCGACGGTGCAGGTGCATTCACACTTTGTTTACTCTTAAACCCTAAGTCTCTAGATTACCGTATAAATTTTTTTTATCTTACCAATCCAAACATTTTTCCTCGGATCACATCTTTTGAGCCTAATCTTCTTTTGTTAATACCAATACTGTTACTACCCCTACTACTGTGGTATTTGGCATAACAATCCCTGTGCCGATGGGGTGTAGCAGCTTAATAAATTGATGCACACATATCCCAGGTCCGACGTTGCACACGACTGACTGAGTGGAAGCTGAATAACAGTGCTATTTACCTTACTCCCAGTTCGAAAAAAATTTAGGACAATTTGGAACTACAACTTTTCGATTGATGTTGTCAGAAAACTCCCCTATACTTACTGTAAAAAACGATTTACTATAATATTCTGTTTCAAAACAAAACATGATATACAAACCAGACTGATCGCAGTGAATAATTGTATGTAGTGATGAGAAAATAAGGCAGTTTATAGTTAGTTTAACAATTAGGACCACTAACAGCTTTATAAAACAATATTTGGGATGTAAATGTGAGGTACATAGTAATGTAATTAACTCATTCGCCAGGTATTTGTGTATGAGCCATACTCTAAGTTTGAGGGTTAATTATACAACCCGGTTGCCCAAACTGAAGCAAATGGAGTGGGATTCGAGCATGGGGAACAGTAGCCAAAAGTTAGACGTCTCAACTACTAAGGGGTCGCTCTAAAATATTCTATTACCTAAGCTGATAGTAAGCAAGATTCAAAAATAAAGTGACCACGACCACATAAAGGCAAAAGATACAAGAGCGAACTTATGAAACTAAAAGGCTAACAAGTTTACGATAAAAAAAGATGTGACTGACCTGATTGTCTATACTTAGTTTTCGACTGAGATTGTCTGCCTCTCCTGAAAACAGAATAAAAGTTAGTCGAATATAAAGACCTACTTAGTGATATTTACATCTTCCATATCATTCATAGTAGGACGTGGAACAGTCGGAAGGCCAGTTTGAGTAGGGGGTAATGAATTAATATGGGGTGTGTTATGGCCAATAGGTGCTGGGAAAATAGATAGTAAAAAACAGACCTACCTTTTCTGACAGCCATACTTAAGGATGATAAGATAGAATTTAAGTTAGCTGTGCTTTTCTGCAAATCCTCGCTAAAACGCTGAAACTGATTAGTTAACTTCTGATGCTCTTTGATAGCGTTTTGAATTAGCTGATACATATTCTGATCAACAGGACGACCATCAGGGGAGGCAGCAGGATCTAACTCATCATCTGGAACTTTGGCGAAATTTTCATCAAAAATAGCTTGAAGTTGTTTTCCTACTCTAGCAACTTCGCTATCTTCACCATTATACTTATAACAATTATTAAACATCAGTCGAACATCGTCTGCGAAATCGTATTTGGTATGGTACTGACCACTTTCTAATTTTGTTTTTATGGTGCTGAGATCCATTGCTTTTTTGACAACATCGTAGTAATCATGAAGCCCGAGGGCCACGACATCCACTGGTTTTAAGAAAAAATGATTGAGATCCTAGAAATAATAGCTCAAAATGCTACAAACGCATACCCGATATCTCTGAGAGGAAATATCCTTCAGAATATTACTGCAAGCTTTCAATGCTTCGGAAAGTCGTAAACGTTTGCCAACATTGCGTTCTTCATATTCACGCTTAGGTTTTTTGATTTGACGACGATCGCGGGATAGATCATCATATGATTGGGGAGTCGACGGTAATTCGTCTATTGTAGAATCACTTTTCTTTTTGCTAGCCTTTTTGGTAGATGTAGAAGTTACTGATGGCCTGAAAGGTAATGTAGTCTGATCGACAGAAACAGCTGAGCCATTTAACCCTTCAGTATGGTTGGTTGAAGCAGCTGTATGGATTGGTTCGATAGGAGGATGGACCTGCAAAGGAGCACCAATAGGACGGATAGACTTTGGGGTTTTTTGTGGACAAATTTCGGTCTCAGGAGTCGGCATAAATTTAAGGCGTTCTCTAGCGATCTGCTCAAGTTTCATTGCCATTGCAACCACATCATCACCTGGCTTGTTGAATATATAACAATTTCGGAACATAGTGAAAAGATCATCGAGACATTCGGAAGAGGAGTGATAGAATTTTAGATTTAACCGCTGTTTTATCGTCCCAAGGTCCATAGGGTGTTTTATTATCTTGGGATAATCCTATGAATTATGCTTATCAGCGAAACAGACTTACTGGAAGGTTCAGCCGCTGGTGATCGACTGGTTTTGTAAACGGCCATACAATTTTTTCTTTAAATAGTCGTCCAACCACTTCTTTTTTAATATACTCCAGCTGGTTGGTAGTAATTTTTGAAGAATGAGACTTAGCAGCATGAGGTTCTGATTTAATGGAATTAGAAGAATCGAGATTCGCTTCAGAGCTCATTGCATTGGCGAGAATCTAAAAAAATATAGATAGGGTATGTACTACTCAAAAGGAAAAATGTACTATTTTTAGGTACTACTCTGTACTTCTCTAGAGTAGTCGATAACCAGTCCTTTAACTTGCTGACCTTCATTTTCATAATGAAAAATTTACAAATACTGTTGATATATATATATATATATATATATATATATATATATTTAAAACAAGTTCATTATGATCACGAGGTCATGTAGACCATTCAGATACATTTTATGGTTACTTAGTGTTACGATAAGTTTCATACAATAAACCTTAATAATCAACGCATTTTTCTACGGGATTGCCAAACACCAACCCAGATTTCGTAATACGAATGTGACATCCAGTACTTCATAGCTGTATTTTTATTACAACTGCCATTATCAAATTATTGAAGTACTTCATGTAAAGAACGCAAACAGTAATCTTAGAAGTTCGAAATCACCTATACGGCTTCCGCACTTTTAATTTGGTCGCTCGTCATAAACAGAAATTACATATAAGTATGTTTGTCTAAAACATTTAACTCAATAATATCCCGTTTCCTAGCTAGAGCACGTGAAAAGCGAACCCGAGAAAACCAAACGTTCAAGATCTGAGTATCAACGCATAGACCGAATATTCACTCTTCAGTAGGTCATGAAACAGATATACTTTTTGACTTCCATGACGGTGTTCGACTTTGTTGATCATAAGGTTCTGTGGTAGTGTCTCCCATTGAAAGGCGTACTAAAGAAGTACATTAACCTTGTACAGGCTTTTACTCGGACACTAGTGATAGAGTAAGAGCTTATGGTGAGCTTTCTGTTATGCTTGACACTAAATCGATTCCGCGGTAACGAACGAAAGCCAATGACACAATGACACGATAAGCTACTCTAATCTGTTGTCCCAGGCCCCGCTAACTAGATGAAGAAGTCCAAGGCAAGTAGGGGAATATATATGTATTCCGTAAGCAGCCGAGTACAAGCAATCAAATAAGGGGAAAAGTCAAGCGCATTTATACAGTAACAAATTGTCCTTGAGCATCATAGTAAATAGCACACATAAAGAAACAAAGGACCAATAGCGGTTAAGATAGTTTACAGGTGGGAAATATGACGTGAAGGTAAAAAGAGCGCTTTTGGCGCGAAAACAGCTAAATTCAAATTTTCAAAATAAAACTACAAGATTAAGCCATTTACCAAGTAAGTTCTGGGGATTTGACATCCCCAACACTTTCATAGAAATTAGTTCGAGTGTTGTTCGTCAAGATTGCCGGCTCACCTTATTTTCATATAAATTTGTCAAAGATATGCTTTTAGAGGTAAGATTTTCACCGTTTGTCTTCCTGGGGGTCGATTTACCGAGAGTTCCACTTGTTGACTTAGAATGCACAGATGATATAGTTCTGATTGGCGAATACGCTGACAAAAATGTTGTCATCTGATCATCCTAAGCAACAATTCAAGCATGTTTGGGATGTGGTCTTCTCCCTCTAAATGTAAAACGTTACGTTTGTTATGACCTGCGTCATTGCCCGAATTAATGATAGGAAGTGAAGTAGTCTCATCATTACTAACAGTCTGATATCTGATAAAATTTCAGCACAGGTTCAGAAGGCTCGATTGTCTTTTGTCAACTGGCGTCACTTTTGGCTTAAGACATCAGTCTTCCAACTAAAGAACACATTCACTGAGTAGCAGTTTGCTCCGTTCTACTTCACGGATGTGAAACGTGGCCATTAAGAACAGGGGATACTCATAGGTTATCAGTATTTGATCATAGTTGTCTTCGAAGTATTGCTTATGTACGAAGTAAGCAATGACTGAGTTAGGAATGAGGTGCTAGGTAAAGATGGGAAATCGATCGATGAAATAGTAAATTTTCATCAACTGTGGTGGTTGAGATATGTGTTATGTATACCTAACCACCACCTACCTCGACGGGCAATGTTTTATGGTGTAGGAGTAGGGTAGAACAAAGCTAGAAGCACCATAACCAAACCATGGCACCAACCCATGAAGACATTGAAAATTGGACTAAGTCATGATAATAGGTGTAGACCACCTTACTGGGGTCCGAATGATTATCGTAATCGATAATTAGAGACTGAACAACATGGCTCCAAATTCTTCACGGTGGAGCAGATGCATTCATTCTTTGTCTTGATATTTAGCCGGACTAAATATATAAACACTAGTGATTGTTATTTATGAAAAATAATCAAGCAAGAACTTAGGGTCAGCAGATACCCGTTTTCATTACCTCGAAAAAAATAGAATTTTTGAGTTGACTAGCTTGTAAATATTTTGATTAAACTATGTGAAATAACCGATCTTTAGTTTGATTACTAGTATTGCTCGGTATTTAAATACAGGTTGAAGTAGTCAACCTTGGGTCATACTTTTTTGTGTGAAGTTTAGTGATGTAATATAAGTGCTGAAATAGAAGCAGGCGCAATAGGAATGACAAATGCAATCATACAACTACATCAAAAGTATTTAAACAACTCACTATTGGAACAAGATCAAAACTCAGTGCTCTGTAATTATTATAATGGAATTACTTAGACATCCATTTTGGTCATAGTGGTATTGCTAAGAACTCAAGAATGATATGTATCTAACTTAGACTCTAAATAGTTAGTAAACCGTAAGTCGGATAAAAAATGACTGCAATGGTCTCAAAGATATATCTGCCTGAGACTTCTGGTGGAGTTTCAGAGAAACATGGACTGCAGTCAGTGGAAGTAAAATCGCAATGTACTGAACCTACCATTAGATTTAAGAGGCATACAGGAGAACGTGAACATTTAGTGAACTAAGAAGTAGTGGTCTAGATGTAAAAAAAAACATCTAGATACCGAAACTAGCCTTTATAACTTTTCTTTCGTATGTCGCGTCAATTTCATGCAAGCGAATTGTTGTACAGATATCGAACTAAAGAGACTTAAATCAATCGCGACAGAGGTAAATAAGATTATCATTCTGACAAGTATCCAGCAGGTTACATATTGTATAACTGTTTTTCGCATCGATACTGGACAAGACCAAAATTGTAGGTCCAATAAATAAAATAAGAGTTGGTTTTTAAAGAACGGTACATAGCCATGTTCATTTTATAATACCCCAATTATTATTATCTTATTAGACTATCCTAGGCATATCAATGGGCGGTTGCCTACTATACTTAAGTTTAGCAATCAAATCACGACCTGGAACACTACAATAAGTGATAATTCCGAACCAGTGGTCAAAAGGCAAAGCGCTTAAACCATTGGAGGTACAGCACAATGGTTTCATAATCTGGGTTGCGTTAGAATGTATATTGACCACCATTCAATAGAGCTGAAAAAAAAACTTACGCACTATTAATACTCTTCCCAATGGTGATGCTATCAAAACATAACTTCAGTCAAGTGACAGTCAGTTTATTTACTCTTTTTATAAAGTTGGTAACTTTTATTTAGCGAATTGTTGTAAATTGACCTTAAAACCTTTACTAGTCCTACATTCAAACAGCTATCACTAAAAGAACAACTTATGAATTCAAAAACCAGATGCTTTGTCTAGTTTATTTTGACATTTGCAAAAAGGTCGGAGATCAAACCACTTAAATAGGAGTCTAAAATTTACATTAACGGCATACATATATACAATTGATAGGTCGGAAACAAGTTTATTTGACTTTGGGTCCCATGTCTCATTTTAAAAATAGTGATACAACCCGTCTGTCAACAAGTGAGAGTTCGAGCACGTGATCCAACGATCTTGGAGTGCTTTAAACACCAATTTGTCTGCCGTTCCAACACTACACAGTGGTTAGAATAAATTTATGCTTATTTTAAGTATGGGATGTTAAATCAGTCCAAACCAGTTGGCCCACTTGATAATTGGCTACGACCAGCAGAAAACGTTTGGAGGTTAACACAATTTTATAGAACTTGATTGTAAGGTGATTAGTGTGACTGTTGACTTTTATTAAATGGGTTGATATGAAAAATGTCTTATGCATCTTTGCCACAATCTATTCCGAATGGCAAAACTGCCCACCATATATGACCAGACTGGTAAAAGGGTAGGAGTAACCAAACCAAACACCACTAAGAAGTCATGACATGGTGTCGTGGCATGAAAGAAAGCTGCAAAGGACTAGCTTCTGTTGGTCCTTCACGACTCCCTGGCTGGGGTCCGAGAGATGGTGCAACACAGTGACTAGAGACGTTATCGGATATGGCTCAGAATAGAAGCCAGTGACGAACCTGCTGCAACCTTCTTTTACTTTCTACATAAAGAGTGATTCTAACTTTCTTAACCGAAAGAGTCTTCTGGTTATACATTTCAGTCCGCCTTATCTTTTCATCCCTTCTCTTCCTACTTTCATTATTTTGTGTGGCGCATATGTATCTGGTGCCCTTTTCTACCAATATATATGTGTTTAAATAAATAAATAAAGAAGTCATCAAATGTTGAACTGAATGGAGTATAGAGATAGAAATCCTAAATGAGGTCAGCTTAATAATTGTGATATACAGTGGACATTAGGGGGCATAATTTGAAATCAGTCACAATAGTGAAGACACATTTATTCACAATCACTAAACCTTGAATAGCGTCAACACTTTATGTGCTTTATAAACTACTTTTCACGTTTAGTAACACATCGCTCTCAATGAAATCACTACTTTAACCATTTTATTTGACTTTTTCTTTTTTGCTTAGTGACAACTTGGACCGATCTACATCTTTGTCAGGTTTTGGAAGTTCGTCACTGATTTATTTAATGTCCAACCAAATTATTATTTTCACTGACAAGAGATGGCTACTCTGTTGGAGATTGTGGTTATAGGACAAACAATGATTAGTGGTCTTTAAAATGCAAATCTTATTACGTGCACAGCCTTCGTAACCGCTTTACACCTATTGCTTGTGTTGCCTAATTCCCGCCTACACTTCATGTAAATAGTAATCAAATATGTACATTGAATTACGATACAATAAAGTGTGCACTTT